GGTTACGAAAATCATGAAGAATATGGTCTTTACTGATGAATAATCAAGCTTACTCAATACATCCCTGCTGCAATGGCAGCATGGTTTATATAAGTTTACAAGCATGCAATAAATAATAATAATGTCCTTAACCCTTGCTGTACTGACAACATGATTTATATACAAGTTTAATACACGCATGCAATAAATAATACAAGTGCCAGAAACCATGTGAAGTATTCCTTCTGTCAGGTTGTACAGCGAGAAGGTGGAGGTTCTGTCGTGGACCTTTCTTTAGGGTTTGGAGTCACGTGGATCATGACTTCGTCTAACACCCCCCCGCAAGCGAACAGGTGGGGAAACAACGGGTAGCTTGGACACTAATAATGTGAAGCGAGACGAAGACAAGCCCTTGGTAAAGATATCAGCGAGCTGATCCTGCGAGCAAATATAATTAACCTGTAATTCACGACGAACGACCTTCTCTCGAACATAGTGATAATCAACTTCCAAATGCTTTGTCCGTGAATGAAACAAAGGATTAGAAGCAAGGGCAATTGAAGAGACATTGTCGCACCATATCTGTGGACACACAAAGATACAACTGCAGGTCTTTGAACAAGGAACGTAACCATGAAAGCTCGGCGGCTGTGTAGGCTAACTGCCGGTACTCGGCCTCAGCACTCGACCGAGACACGGTTTTCTGCTTCTTGGAGCTCCAAGAAACAAGATTGGAGCCGAGATAAATACAAAATCCTCCAGTAGAGTGTCGAGTATCGGGATTCCCCGCATAGTCCGCATCAGAGTATGCTGAAAGTTGTGCCGAGCCTGGTTTATACAGAAGACCATGACTAGGTGTGGCCTTCAAATAACGAAGAATCCGTTTCACCGCCATCCAGTGATGAGTAGTGGGGGCATGCATAAACTGGCAGACTTGATTAACAGCATAGGATAAATCAGGACGTGTAACCGTTAGATATTGTAGGGCCCCAACCACACTCCGATACTGATCGGGGTGTTCGAACGGATCACCAACATGTGCACTGAGTTTCTGACCAGATACAGCAGGCGTTGAAATTGGTTTTGCATCTGTGAACTTGGTACGTGACAACAAGTCCAACGCATACTTTGCTTGACAAAGATGCATAGTCGTGCCATCATACTTGACTTCCACACCCAAAAAATAATTAAGGGGTCCTAAATCCTTCATCGAGAACAAGGTGCCGAGCCTTTTAATCAACCTAGATATTTGATGAGGACTGTTGCCAGTGATTAAAATATCATCCACATAGATTAGAAGGATTAAGTAAACACCAGAGTGACTGTAGACAAATAAACTATAATCACAGCTTGATTCCTGAAAACCAAGTTGGAGCAAGAAGTCCGAGAATCTCTCAAACCACGCCCTCGGTGCCTGCTTAAGACCATAAAGACTCCGTTGAAGCTTACAAACATGAGAGGGAAATTGCTTGTCAGTAAACCCCGAAGGCTGTTTCATATATACATCTTCACGTAAAAACCCATGCAAAAAGGCATTCTGGACATCAAGCTGTCGAACATGCCAACCTTTTGAGACAGCAAGACTGAGAACAAGCCGAATAGTTGTATGTTTCACAACAGGACTGAATGTTTCGGTGTAATCCACACCAACTTTCTGATGAAACCCATTTGCCACAAGACGCGCCTTATGACGTTCAATCGTGCCATCTGCACGTCGCTTCAGCTTAAAAACCCACTTATTAGGAAGCAAATTCATGCTGGGATGAAAACGGAACCAAGGTCCATGTCCCACATTGCTGCAGCGCATTAAACTCATGAACCATAGCATTTCTCCATTCTGGAGACTTCACAGCCTGACTAAAACAATTGGGTTCAAGAGGAAACTTGTCAACAGTGACATGCATGGCATATTTAGGGTTGGGCTTGTGAATTCCTGACTGTGAACGTGTGGTCATACGATTGCCCTGAAGTTCAGGCACCATTGGTATCGGTGCAGTGGATACCGTGACTTGCTCATTTGAGGGTAGTGTGGGTGGCAATGGGGAGATTGATTGGATGGGCGAGGAAGACAAATGGGTCGTAGAAATAGAATGAGGTTGGGCTAGGGAGTTATTTTGTTCAGGTTTGCAACTGAGTAGTGATTGAAGGACATGTTTGGTCACGGGTAGAGGTCGGTTGAGGTTGAAAGGAAGTAATTGATGGAGAAGGTGATGCGTGGGGTTGGGAAGGACTTGACCTAGCAGGCATATTAAAGGTTAATAAAAGTTCAGGGGAGACATGGTTACCTGGTGGAATGACGTCTGCAGAGGAAGATGTGAGTCCCTTAAAAGGGAAGGAGTCCTCATCGAATAGGACATGGCGTGACAAGTACACTCGTCGTGTGGACACATCCAAACACCTATAGCCTTGATGATTGAGTGAATATCCTAAGAAAAACACAAGATTTGGATTTGGGTTGAAGTTTATTGCTTGTGTAGGGTACCAACCAAGGAAAGCATCGACAACCAAAAACTTTCAACATGTCATACTTTGGGGTTTTGTTAAACAGTTTCTCATACGGTGACACATGAGACAAAAGTTTTGTGGGCATTCGATTCACCAAATATGTTGCAGTTGAGCACGCATCAAACCAAAAACGATTGGGCAAGTGAGATTGGGAAAGCATAACCACACTTGTTTCAACAATGTGTCGATGTTTTCTTTCGGCAAGTCCATTTTGTTCCGGATGTTTAGGACATGAAAATCGTTGAGAAATACCATTTGTACTAAGAAAATTTTGAAATGCACGACTCTTATATTCACCTCCTTCATCACATTGAAATGTTTTAATGGAAAGATTAAGCATTTTCTCAACACAAGCTTTAAATTTAACAAAAATTTCGAAAACTTCACTTTTGTTTTTCATAGGAAAAGTCCAAGAATAGCGAGAATAGTCATCCACAAATAAAACATAATAACGAAAACCTTCATTAGAAATAACTGGAGAAGACCACACATCAGAATGCAACAGTTGCAAAGGAAATTGAGAAATAGACTCAGACGCATAGAAAGGCAATCTAGTGCTCTTTCCTAAGGGACAAGTCTCACAAAAACTAACATCAGAAGTACCATGAATTGGTACTAATTTTTTTGAAATTAAAAACTTAATGATGGAATGAGACGGATGACCTAGACGGGCATGCCATGTTTTCACAGAACACCGGACTCCAACAAAGGATGAAATGGGAAACTGGAGTTGTCCACTGCCACTTTGAAATGGGTATAACCCATTCTCACATCTCCCTCGGAAAAGCGTCTTCCGGGTCTTGAGGTCCTTAACAAGGAAAAAATATGGAAATATTAGTAGGTAGCATTGGTTATCTAATGTAAACCTATGGGCAGAAATTATATGTTGAGAAGCAGTGGGACAGTGGAGAATATTGGTTAATTTAAATGAGCAAGCTTTAGTACGTAATTGATTGGCACCAGAATGCAAAATAGGGATGGCAGAATCATTACCTACACCTCCAATAGTTTCATTACCAGTATACTCCTTAGGGTGGATAAGGTTTTGAAGATCAGGAGTAATGTGTGCATTAGCACCGGTGTCCAGAAGCCAATTCTGTTGCTTGTTCAGAGTATTAGAAGAGGAGGTCATAGCTGAAAGTTTTTTTTGTAGGAATCCTACCTTCATACGCCGCATTCATTCGCTGGTAGCAATCAAGGGCAGGATGACCTGGTTTGCCACAAATTTGACAAACAATGCGCTCACCGGGACAAGGAAGACGATCACCATTTGGCGGGTTACGCTGATGGTTGGGACGAGGGTTGTAACCTCGGGGATTGAATGGAATGCCACGATTGGAGGAAGACACACCTCTCCCATTTCCTCTCGACCTTCCACCGCCACGACCGCGAGCAGCAACAAAGGCATTCACAGATGCAGTCTCGGCCAAGGAAGCTGCTTGTTCCGCCATTCGGCGTTCAGTGGTCAACAGTAGTGACTCAAGTGTGGGATAAGTAATGGGAGTATCCCGAGCTTGAGCAGCACTCACTGTCATTTCAAATGCAGGTCCTAGATTGTTCAACACAATCTGTACAAGTTCATCATCATAGACAGGTTGCCCGGCTAGGGCTAGGTTATCAGATATCGCATTCATGCGATCCAGGTAATCCGCAACAGAGAGATCACCTTTCTTGGTCTGCAACAATTCATTTCGCAGGAACAAAATTCGATTTTGGGATGTCGAGGCATACCTCTGCTCCAAGGCTTCCCAAGTGGCGCGAGCAGTCCTCTTGCTGGCCACAGTAGACAAGACAGAAGCAGTTAAGGAGCCATTTATCCAACTAAGGATCGTTTGATCCTGTTGGACCCAAGCAGCATACTGTGGATTGACAGTGGTGATACCAGGCAAGTGTTTTGGAGGACACACCGAGGTACCATCCACATATCCCATCAGATCTCGACTTCGGAGAATTGGGAGAATTTGAGCCAACCACAGTGGGTAGTTGGATCTATCAAGCTTAATATGGACCACTGTGGAGAAAGGATGGAAGGGATTGGTGGTAGGCGGGGTGGTGGTGGACTGGGAGGAGGTGCCATTTTCGTCAGCCATGGAAGCGTGAGAAAAAAAATAAAACGAAGGGTGGATCGAGTCGTTAGACGGTAGGGCTCAATACCATGAAGAATATGGTCTTTACTGATGAATAATCAAGCTTACTCAATACATCCCTGCTGCAATGGCAGCATGGTTTATATAAGTTTACAAGCATGCAATAAATAATAATAATGTCCTTAACCCTTGCTGTACTGACAGCATGGTTTATATACAAGTTTAATACACGCATGCAATAAATAATACAAGTGCCAGAAACCATGTGAAGTATTCCTTCTGTCAGGTTGTACAGCGAGAAGGTGGAGGTTCTGTCGTGGACCTTTCTTTAGGGTTTGGAGTCACGTGGATCATGACTTCGTCTAACAAATCACAATATATAGGAGACTGAAAATCCCAAATCAAATAGGAAATCGAGAATCCCAAATCAAATAGGAAACTGAGTCCGCGATATAATTGGACTCGGAATTGCACCGACACACTGACTGACGAGTTACTCCTCCCCAAAGCGACTCGCTCGTCTCGACGCCCCTGCGTGGAGGACCTGCGCCGGCGCCTCAAGGTCTGGAGTCTGCTCCTTGGAACGAAGCTATAACTTTTATGGGGAAGATGAAATTCGCCACAGGGTTAAAAATGTAATTTAGTCTTAAAAACGCGACGGCTCGGCTCGGCTTCTATATCTGATTGCTTCTATTTCTTCTTCCTTCGTCTTTCGTTTATTTGTTGTGAGAAGTTCAGTGATCGAGGAAAAGAGAGATGGCTTGCTTGCACGACCACAGCTGCGAAGATCATGATTATTCGTCCGGTTGGACTCTCTACGAGCATATCGACCTCCCCAAGGTCCAAATTCTCTGCCTTTCTCCTTTGCTCGCTCTTAATTTTACTATTCCTGCGTTTTTTTTAATGTATGAGCTATCACACTGCTGCTCTATTTGGGTGGGATTGCAATCTGCTTAGTATTTTATGATTTTTCGGGTTCATCTGAAAGTACCCAGATGGAAATTTTTCGTTGAAAGATCAGTGACTCGGATTAACCCGTTGAGCTGAAATTCTGTATCTTGCTAGCGTTTTGAGTAAGCATTGTGTTTGTTGTGTATGGATTTCTTGATTTGAGTGGAAAATTATGAAATGGGTTTGTTGGGTTTATTTATTTATTTTTTTTTTCTTCCGGTGTGGTTGGCTTTGTGAGGAGTATTCGGTGATTTCTGCTGTGGTTTTGTTGATACTTTGGAATACTTCCACACTTAATTGTTCTGTAAATGGCGTGTTTCGTTGGACCTTGTGTTTGCTGGTTGACATGATGCCACTTTCAGCTGAATTCCATTTGGATTCTAATCATCAGTATGCACCACGGTCCCTCCTTGAAAGGGACTGCAAATTGTGTTGTTTAGGTTTCTGCTTTGAATGAGGCAGTTCCAGGAAGCGTCAAGTCAGTTTTCAAAGCTTGGGAGCAAAGACTGAATTCTAGTGGGGTAATGATCCCTTATATTTGATTTTCTGTTTGATCTTTTTCACAAACATTATTTGTAGGTGTCATTGTTAATGTACTAATCCAAACTTCGTAAGTTTTTTTTTATAAATGAAATCTCTCATATTGACGTTTTCATGACAATATATTAGCACAAGTTTAGGAAGTTACTGATTGAGATGCAGTTCAGGTTTACCATATAATTTGGTGGTAATTTATGTTTGGATTTATAGGCATAAGAAGGCTCATTGGATCCTACTTTCTGCTACAGGGACACTTGGAGAGCAATGAGGATGATCCTGAGTTACTTGTTTACATTCCGTGAGTGTCCCCTTTTTTTATCTGTTGTCTTTGTAACGTGAGCTACTGACTGCATGAAATGAAATGGACGGGGACAGGTAGATCCAGTGTTTCAGTAGTTTTACCCATTTTCCATCTTTCCCTTCAATGTCAATGGTAACATGTGCCTGATTCTCCATAATCTGGTCTGTATGAGTTTGAGCAAGGGACTTAAACCTCAGTAGCATCTTCAGGTTCTTCCAAAACATGGCGCATAATATGTGCATCATTTTTTTATTATCCTTTTGTCTTGCACTCAGAGCTTCTTTCGTGTTTCTTGGATGGCTTGTCATTCCTGTGAAATCTGTAGGAGATACAAGTCATGATGTTGAGGATTTATTTCTATATAAACTTTTCATTGCTTGTTTCTGCAGAGATTTTATTAGAACCTAGTATTCGCTGATGTTGTTCATACATCTAACTGAGTTATATTTTGCTCATTTGTTTTCGATAGATTTCCATCAGATGTAAAGATCAAGAGCATATCAGTTGTCGGTGGTGTTGACGGAACAAGTCCTTCCAAGATGAGGGCGTAAGTTTGACCTTTTATATTTTCTACTTAAGGCAAGGCCTTCTTATATTTGTGTGTAGTTAGAATGGTGAGGCAAGAAGCTATAGGATTTAAGTGATAATTCGTTTTACTGAAATAAACTCATTGGTAATCTTTGTCTTAATGTACCACCATTTCCTTGCATAAATTTCAAATTTTCTTGTCTCAACCGTTTCATGTTTATGTAGTCAATACCTAAGATTTGGAATTAACTTGGAACATCCAGGGAGTTTTTGCGCTCTTTTCGTCGTACAGTAGTGGTCATGAGTGTAGCCCGGCATGAGTTTTCTGACGAAATAACTATTGAAACAGCCTTTGATGGATGTTCAATATTCAGTACATTCATATATTTGGAAAACTAAAATTAGAGTCCCTGCGGTTCCCCTCTGTTCCCTTTACTTTTGTGCCAATTTCGTAAGGGACAAAAAAAAGATGAAATTCGCTACGGGGTTAAAAATGTAATTTACTCTTTAAAACGCGACGACTCGGCTCGGCTCTTGTTATCTGGTTGCTTCTGTTTCTTCTTCCTTCGTCTTTTGTAATTTTCTTGTGAGAAATTCAGTAATAGAGGGACAGAGAAATGGCTTGCTTGCACGACCACAGCTGCGAAGATCATGATTGTTCGTCCGGTTGGACTCTCTACGAGCATATCGACCTCCCCAAGGTCCAAATTCTCTGCCTTTCTCCTTTGCTCGCTCTTAATTTTACTATTCCTGCGTTTTTTTTTCCTGTATGAACTATCACAATGCTGCTCTATTTGGGTGGGATTGCAATCTGCTTAGTATTTTATGATTTTTCGGCTACAATTATTATAACTTTTAAAGAACTGTCTTGTTTGTAACTGTTGAATTTTTATCCAACGGCCCACTAACACCGGTCAGGAGGATCCCAAGGGGTTGCCTCGAAGAGGATCCAATTCCGTTTTATATACCATGTTTGTACCGTCCTGTATTACAGAAAAAGTACAAATGTAATAAAAAATGCGATAAGTGTGACATTTGTTGTAACATTCAATAACTGTTGTAACATTACCAGGCCAACGCCAATAAAAGATGAGACACTTCTCTCTTGGTGGCCCAACTATTGTATTCAAAAGTAGCATAAACTTTACATGAATTTTCTCCAACCAAGGGACTCTAACTAACAACAAGAATTCACTGAAGCCATGGCAGCTCAATCTTCAAAGCCTCTGAACCAGTCGCTTATAGTTCTCGAAAGGAATCTAACGTCATTTAGAGAAAGCGTCTTAAGACTCTGAGCAATAGCATCTGCTGGAGTGTAAACGTAACCTGCTTGCCACTTAGGTTCCTGATCAGGCCATAAAAATGAAAAGAGAATAGATTAAGACGCATGATGACCATAAACCGAAAGCTTCTACGACAAACTAGCAGAAAGGAGATGCATGGTTCTTAACTTCTTATGATAATGCAATGCTGGAAGCCTGAGACTGTTTCCTAATAACTCATAGCGATATGGAGATGAAGACTCCATAAGGGGTTCAAGTTAGGATATGAATGAAGATACAAGTCAATTGTGATTTCTTGATCTGTTTCCCGGGCTCTTTGGCATGTTTTGGTGTGACTAGCAATTCGATTATCACAATTGATTTCCCTTTAACATGGCATAGATTTGGGGAAGAAAAGGTCTAGTTTCGATTGCTAGCATACTAGCACAAACAAGGTAAAGAACTTTAGTTAAAAGCATAAGAAATTGCATATTTAGTGCGGAAATCTGAACCAACTTGAGTAATTAATCAACTTGACAGTTCTTACTAAACATTATTTAATTGATCTCGACCAATTTATGTCACAAAACTAAAAAACGTTCAAAAGAGTGCACCATCATAAGCGATTTGTTGAAAGGTCAGAAAGGTTGTTTAAATTAGCTTTCAATTTTGTAAACGAATGACCTCTAAACTTCCAGCCTCATGCAAAATTGTGGATTCCATCAAATATGGAAACAATTTTTTATGGAATACACAATTTACAAAAGCAAAAGCATTAAAACTTTAAAACGAAATAAAGTTTTACAACAATATGTCCTAAACTTAAATGTACTATATGAAGCAGGGCATACAGATCGATTACCTGCTCAAAGTAAGGCACGGCCTCTGTTGCCGGTCTATTTTTGTAAGCTATTATAGCATTGGCCTTAGCAAAGCACACAAATATTGCTTGTCAAACAAACCGAATGAATTTCTCAAGTCACTTAAAACGAAAGAGGACTTCCCAAAACAAACCGCACCTTAGGGACTTTATCAGAGAAATAGCTCCCGGCAAGTACTTGAAGAAGGGCACCATTGCTAGAAAAAATATTCAAAACACAGAAATTTCAGTCACGTTGCTGCCAGGATACATTGGTAATGAACTTAGAAACCAATCAACTTACGATCCGTTTGAGATACCTTCAGTAGAAAACAATTATGCACATAAGTGCTTTCGCATGTTAAAATCTTTATCAAAAATGCAAGTTCTACCTAGAAAGACTTGGAAGTGCTGCCAAAAGAAGCACCTAGCAAGTGCTTTTTAGAAAGCGCTTTTATCCCTTCTGAAAAGGCTCTAAATTTTACCTATGGCCAACCGAAAACACGGGCAGTTGAGCAAGTTGGGCAGCTGATGGATTGGAATTGGGCAGTCCAGAAGCTCAGATGTTGTCCAAGCAGCCATTGAACCTCTCATACACTTGCCGGGAAGCTTGGACATGATCAAACGTCACATTGTACGGCACTGATATCACCAGAAACCCATCCTTTGCCAATAGCTCAGTTAAGTAGCTGCGACATATAATTCACATGAACTTGAAGGACACAAAGTTAAATAAAAGAAAATTACAAAACCCAAAAGGCAAAAAATGAAAAGCTAACAAAATTTATAGTTCGACCAAAAAAAGGAGAACGATAAGTAGTAAGTAGAGTTGGTTGTATTAACATTATTTCATGTAATCACAATATCATCAAAGTAGATCTAACAATCCGAACAAGGGTTTAATGTATGGCTCCATATTTTCTTCTTTGACCATGAACATAGGAGATTCTTGATTGTTCCCGAGTATATCCCCGTTATTCAATCTCTCACGCATCAAGTGTATCAGTTCAAATGCAAGTCATATAACATCTTCCAAGCTTGGTAAATGCTCCAGATGAAAATTTACATAAGAAATTAAAAATGGATTTACCATGATTAAGGTAAAAAGTAAAAACAGAACTACTAGAGTTTACAAATTACCAAACAATAATTGAATGCTTGTCTTTTATAAAAGGTAGGGCCAATGAAGGCATGGTATTTTTCTCCTTTTTACACATATTTACGAGTAATGTTATTTATACTATATTTTTGTACCACATTTTCATACCACCTTATGTGTCATTTGATGTGGACAACCATATCATTTGAATTAATCATATTTTTAAATTTAGTTCATTATTTAATAAACTAATAATTAAGAAAAACTAGTTAATTAAATTATGATTGTGGTATACGAGAAGTCTTTCTCTTTCATTTCTTTGGGTTTTGCAAATTTTTCATTGGGCATAAAACCATGAATTAATCATTTTCATACCATGTTTAACTAAATTTAAAAATCTGATTAATTCAAATAATGTGGCTGTCCACATCAAAAATCATCTAACATAATATAAAAATATGATATAAATATCATTACTCTAATTACTTTATTTCTGTGATGTGAGATGGAGTTGGCCTCCACAAAATATGACAGCGCACTACCATTTCATTTACTTCACTTGAAATAATTAACATCATTTAAAATTTTAATTTATAATTTAATTTTAAAATAATGTATAAGTTTGTATGATGTTATAAAAATTTCTTTTTATTTAGTAGATTTTACGAGAAAAGTTGCACCGCTCAACCAACGAATAAAGACGACGTACAATACGAGAGATTTTCAGTGTGATTGGTACACGAGGGTACATCATGTGACACTAAATAAATGATGAGATATATGTGCTAAAAAGTTAATAACTTAAAAAATAAAATTTCTCATCATTCCTATTAAAACACGTGATATACCACTTGTATTCCCGTCACAACTAAAAATTTCTCGTACAATACCAAGCAAGCTTAGTAATGCTCCGGCTGAAAATTTACACAAAAATAATAATAATAAGGAGTGTGATATCCACATCTCATTTTACTTCTCACACACTTTTCTAATTTTCAGCTGTCAGATCGAATGAATTGAAGAAGATCAAGAGACAGAAATTACAAATTATGTGTGAGAAGCAAGGAAGAAAAAATCGATAATATCGGCGATATTTCGCCGATATTATCGTTTTTTTTTGTCCGATATTTTTTAACTATCCAAATGATTTTCGTCAAAATATCGCGATATTATCGATAATATCGATAATATCGCGATATTATCGAAACTGTCGCGATATTTTGGCACTGTGCTAATCGGAGAAGACCACCGGAGCAAATTAACCGAATCCCTAAATCCCCAAATTCGAATTCAAAGCAAATTAACTGAATCCCTAATTCCTAAATCCCTAAATTCGAATTCAGTACAAAAATGAAATTACATGCAGAAATTTCGAATTCTGTACAAAAATAAAATTACATACCGAGAAGAAGATAAGTATGAGCCTGGGAACGTCGTCTTCCTCACGAATCCAAGACGGCTGGGACAACGTCGTCTTCCTCACTGACGACTACGATGAGTTCCGGTCCATCGTCCGGTGTCCGCTGCCTCCGCTCAGTTTCTCCACAACCATTGATTTGCGATGACGCGACAGTTACGACTCGACGACTGGGACTAACGACACGGCTTCTCCATGGAACAAGGTGGTTTACAAGGCGGTTATGGAGTGGTGTCGACGGCTGGGTTTAGGGCGGGTGAGATGGGAGGAGCAGAGGGAGACGCGGACGAGGAGGATCGAGATTCAAGAGATGATGTCTGTGTGTGTGTGGAAGAACTGGATAAGGGGGTGGTTATGGAGTGGTGTCGACGGCTGGGTTTAGGGCGGGTGAGATGGGAGGAGCAGAGGGAGACGCGGACGAGGAGGATCGAGAGATGAATCGAGATTCGAGACATGATGTATGTGTGTGTGTGTGGAAGAACTGGTGAAGGGGGAAGGGAGAAGACTGAGAAGAGAGAAGGAAGGGAGAAGACTCAGAAGAGAGAAGAGAGAGAATGAAGGATCGAGAGAAGAGAGAGAATGAAGGATCGAGAGAAGAGAGAGAAGGAAGGATCGAGAGAGAGACTGAGCTCAGTCTCTGTGTGCGTGTGTGGTGTGGTGTGGGGGGTCTCGAAGTGCGTGTGTGGTGGAGTGTGAGTGTGACTCACTCTTTGACTGTCTGTTTGTGTAGTGGCGTGTAAGAAAAAAAAAAGCATCCAATGATCCAAATAATTCAAAACCTGTCTCTAGCTCTCCAATGATCCAAATAACTTTTTGCAATTTCAGACCAGGGACAACAAATAATAGTGCTTTCATAATGAAACCGTGTGACACTGTGAGTCCGTGAGATTCTTTCACATGCAAAACAGTGTGTCATTGTCTGTTATATTCTTTCACCTTATCAGAGGTGAACTATCAGAGGCATTCAGAGCATTTTCGTTTCTTCTTCTTCCCTTACCATTTTCAAAGCCATTCCAGATCTATTCCAAAGCTTGAACACAAAGGGTTCCATATTTAAGGTAAGTTTACAAACTTAAATTTATATTATTGTAATTTATACAACAACAAATAAATTTGTGTGGACTCGTATGTTAATTTTTTAAGTAATTAATACTTGCATGTTAATTTTTGTAAGTAATTAAGTAAGGTTAACAATTACATGTTAATTTTTTTAAGTAATTAACTAATGTTGTATAATTATTCCCTAGGATAATTTTAATATGTTTAATGTTATTTATTATTTTATTAATATTAGGTTTTATTATCAAATTGGATTATTATTCATTAATATTAGGTTTTTTTATTATCAAATTGGATTATTATTCATTAAATTGGATTATTCATTAAATTGGATTATTATCAAATTGGATTATTATTCATCACCATGTTTTATATTAGGATTATTTTTTTATCAAATTGGATTATTATTCATTAATATTAGGTTTTATTATCAAATTGGATTATTATTCATTAATATTAGGTTTTTTTTATTATCAAATTGGATTATTATTCATTAATATTAGGTTTTTTTTTATATTATCAAATTGGATTATTATTCATTAAATTGGATTATTATCAAATTGGATTATTATTCATCACCATGTTTTATATTAGGATTATTTTTTTATCAAATTGGATTATTATTCATTAATATTAGGTTTTATTATCAAATTGGATTATTATTCATTAATATTAGGTTTTTTTTTATTATCAAATTGGATTATTATTCATTAAATTGGATTATTATCAAATTGGATTATTCATTAAATTGGATTATTATCAAATTGGATTATTATTCATCACCATGTTTTATATTAGGATTATTTTTTTTTATCAAATTGGATTATTATTCATTAATATTAGGTTTTATTATCAAATTGGATTATTATTCATTAATATTAGGTTTTTTTTATTATCAAATTGGATTATTATTCATTAAATTGGATTATTATCAAATTGGATTATTCATTAAATTGGATTATTATCAAATTGGATTATTATTCATCACCATGTTTTATATTAGGATTTTTTTTTATCAAATTGGATTATTATTCATTAATATTAGGTTTTATTATCAAATTGGATTATTATCATCACCATGTTTTATATTAGGATTATTTTTTTATCAAATTGGATTATTATTCATTAATATTAGGTTTTATTATTCCATATTATTTGTATAATTACTTAAATTTTTACAATCATTTTCTTTACTTCGTATTTAATTCTTCTGTAGAATAACTTTATTATTTAGGTTCTCTTATTTTATCAAAAAATAATTGTCTAATTTTCATGAAAAATAAATATAGGTACGTTTAAGATGTCCAGTGGAGTTACTAAACGTGATCCAGCTTGGGAACATGGAGACCCAATAGACGGAAACAAACATGGCACAATTTGCAAATATTGTGGTCGGGTAATGAAGAGTGGCGGAGTGACACGACTTAAGTACCATCTTAGTGGATTAGATCCATCAAAAAATGTCCAACGATGCAATAATGTCCCCCCAGAAGTGAAGGCATTCATCAGCACATTATTAAAAAATAAAAAACAGCAGAAGGAAAAGATAACACAGGGAATGGAAAATATTCGAGCTGGGCTACAGGGAGAAGTCTATGGCCAAGCGGTTGACAGTGATGATGATGACGATGAGGACGAATGTGATGATGACATGGGACCTGAAGAACGACGCAGTTTGAAACAAGCATTACGTGCTTCCAAATAGTCAGCATGGGAAAGAGAACACCTTCATAAAATTCCTAATAGAGCACAAGGTTTCGGGACAAGTGGTGGTGCACAAATGAGACGAGGAGGCAGTCTTAGAGAATCACAACCAACGCCACCAATAGCCCCAAGTTTATATAAGTCATCCAAAGCACGTCAAAAGAGTGTTTGGAGTTATTTCACTGGAGGTAATGTGAAGGAGGGAATGGGGCGTCTAATTAGCAAGTTCTTTATATATGAAAATGTCCCTGCTGCGAAGGCATCATCACATCATTTCAAAAATATGGTAGTGGGATGTCAACAGGCCTGTGTTGGTGTACAACCTCCCACTCCCTATGAGATAAGAAACAAATATTTGGATATGGAGTATAAAGACATTGGCGAGTATGTTAACAAGTTGAGGTCAAAGTAGGAAACT